GGACTCTTTCCCCCTCCCCACATGGGAGTCTGTACTTGTTCTTCAATAAGTCTCTATTTTTGCTATATCACCTTCTGTCCATGGATTCATTCTTTGACTCCAATGGACAAAGAATCAGGGAACACTGCATGTTCCAGTCCCCAAATCACGTATTACCACCATGGGGATCCTGGGTGCTGGGTGCTGATGTGGGGAGCAGGCACCACGAGGTCTGACATGCTCTGCATCCATGCTCTGGAGCTGCTCTTGCTTTGGCCAGTGATGGAATCAGAATCTTTTTTTTAAAATATATTTTATTGATTTTTTACAGAGAGGAAGGGAGAGAGATAGTTAGAAACATCGATGAGAGAGAAACATCAATCAGCTGCCTCCTGCACATCTCCTACTGGGGATGTGCCCGCAACCCAGGTACATGCCCTTGACCGGAATCGAACTTGGGACCTTTCAGTCCACAGGCCGATGCTCTATCCACTAAGCCAAACTGGTTTCAGCGGAATCAGAATCTTGATGATAACTGGGGTTGGCATAGTGCTCCTAAGAGGGGAGACCTGGAAAATATCTGCCTGAATCCTTGGCCAGCTCATGGTCCTAGAGTTCCATCTAGCTTTGCTCTGAGGCTAGGGAGGGAACCTGGCCTAGGTGGGTGTGTGCAGTAAGGATGAGGAAACAGGACAAGAGTCCACAGGTTGATCCTGTGCTTGCAGGGAAAGGAGACTGGTTCTGAAGTAATTGCATTAGAAATTGCCAAGAAGATCATGGGGCTGCTGGGAGGCTGACCTCTGCTCTCCAGGGCAGGGCTGGCAGCAGCAGGAGGCAGGGTGCAGAAATGTGCCTTCAGCAATATCTACCCTGGCTGCTGCGGCTTCCTCCTCTGAAGGCCACAGTTTGCTCCTCTCACTGCCTTGCTCCGGAGCTCTGCCTGCTATCCACCTGTGATCGAGATGCACTCTGAATGCTGTGAGGGCTCCATTAACCTGGCAGTTATATGCCTTAGATATTTTTTTAAAAACTAAGATCAAAGCACTTTGTAAGTTTGATTCTTGTGTGTACATGTTTTCCTGAGTGGAATTAACTACAGATTCTTGGGGGGGATGAAGGGGGCGGAGAGATAGGTTTTTGACATAGCAGGGCTGAGGACATAGACTGGGGCCACAGTGAAGACACTGGTCAGAGCTGCCACTGGGCCTCTCAGTGCAAGGCCTGGTTCCATCGCCCCAAATGCATATAATTAGAAGTTTTAGTATTAGTTTTAAATTAATTGGCAAAGATTCACATTTGGGATCAACTCTGCATTGCCTAAGGGAGAATTGAACAGACACCCACGCTTCCAATCCTCTGTTAATTGGGATTTCCCTAAATACAGCACACAGTCAGCAGTGGGGAAGAAGTAAGAGAGAGAGAAAGGGTGTTGGGTGTCAGAGAGAGGGTGTCTGAGGGAAGCTGGTTTCCTGCATCTAGTCATTCCAAAGATATCATGAGCAGCAAATTAAACGATCCTTCAGCAAGAATTTTGACAGGAAAATTTCATTAGGGATTTAAATCTCTATGGAAGCTCAAGTTGCTGCATTAAGATATGAAAATTGTGCAAATATTGTTCCTTAGACTAATGTTTGCTGCAGGTCATTGAGTCTCAGTCAATGAAATTTAGAGTGATAAATGCCATATTGAAAATAACTAGAGGAAGGAGGGGGCGAGGGAAGGAAGAAAAGAGGCCTGCATTGGGAGTTCAGGCCCTCAAATTATTTGGATTGGAAGGTAGACTCCAGTATTAACCAGCTGTGTAACCTTGGGCAAGTTTGTTTAACATCTCTGAGGCCTAATTTCCTCATTTATAAAATGTGAACTATTGCCGGAAACTCTCTGCTAGACCATGATTGTGAGGGTTTTAATGAGATAATCCAGGTAAAGTTCTTTAGCACAGTGCCTGGCACTTGTAAATCCCAAACATACTAGTCCTATATCATAAAGATGTAATATGCAAATGGTTGTCACACCGTGAAGCATAATGACTGACCATGTAACGACCAGATCATGGATCAGCAGGAGGTTGGGGCTGCGAGCTACAAGCTGGCAGTGGAGAGCTACAGGAGAGGGCAGGGCAGCAAGCTATTAGGGGGGGCGGGGGAGCTACAGGAGGGCAGGGCAGTGGGCAGAGAGCTACTGGAGGGCGGCAGCAAGCTACTGGCGAGCTACTGGTGCATGGATTTGTGTGCAGGGCTACTAGTATGATTATAATACAGAAAGTGGGCTAATGTTTATCTGGCACTGACTTCTTCTCAGTCTCAGTGATATCAACCTACCAGTACTATTATTACTATTTTTAATGTTTATTTATTGATTTTAGAGAGAAGGAGAGAGAGAGCGACATTCTTTGGTGTTCCACTTATTTAGGCATTCATTGGTTGATTCTTGTATGTGTCCCTGACCAGGGATTGAATCGAAACCTTGGCAAATTGGGATGACACTAGGACTAACTGAGCTACTTGGTCCAGCCAGGAGGGTCTTGGAGCCTAAATCCTGTTTGTACACCTTTGTACTAACAGAATCTGACTGATTAGATGGCTGTTGGTGGATGTTTAGAAAATATTTGTGAAATGAATTATTAATTGCATAAATAAATGGATGATGCATGAATGAATGGAAGGTATAATGTTTTTCTCAATTAAACTGTGCCTCAAGGATTCATCCACAGGTTTCTCAATGTTCGTTTGTTTGTATTTTGTTTCAAGGCATTCTCACAGTTTTATTCCCATAATCATATGCCATTTTATAGAAAACAGGAGAAAAGAGAAAAAAATTCCATATACTTACAATAGTCCAAACACTTAAAGTCCCCCTTTTGCATTTTAGGGTATGTGTGTTTTCATCATTTTACCAAAGGATGTTCTTGCTGCAATCTTATATGAAAATAATTTCCATCTTGCTGTTTCACTTAATAAGATTATTTCATACAGCTATTATTTTAATGATAATTTAATAGAACATGATAGATGTGCCATATTACGTTTTACTTAAATATACTCTTGCTGATTTTTAGACCGTGCCCATTGTTTCACTATTAGGAATATTGTTGCACTACTTATTTTCATGTATATATGACATAGGTTTTCAGGGTTACTGTCTGATCTCGGATCGCTTTTCTTTGAGGAGCATACAGTCTTTACAAGGGACCTCACCTTCAACCACTGTAGTGATGTACTATGATATCCAATTGGATGGCAAGAGTTTAATTATTGTTTAAAAGGGATTATGTTCACCATTTTATACTATATTCAAACCCTTTTCCAGAACACTGTACTTGATAGATATTCCACAGCTATATATGAAAAGAAAAAGAAAAGGAAGAAGAGGAAGGGAGAAGGAAGAAAGGGAGAGATGGGGGAGAGAAGGAAGGTAGAGGGGAAAGCAAATAATGAAGAAAGAGAAGGAAGTAAAGGGAAAACAGAAGGGAAGGAAAAACGAGGGAAGAGAAAGAAGAAAGGGAAGAAAGCATAGCAAAGAAGAGAACTAGGTAAATCAGAGAGAATGACAAAGAAAAGAAAGAAAAAGATAAAGAAAGAATCAGCAAGCTCATTCTTCTGTGTAAACTTGCTAATAATTCCAAATACATGTCTCTATCCACAACCAAACTTTCCAGGCATCAGCTTAGCATGTGACCAAATCACAGGAGGAAAAAGATACAACATACTCTAGTATCTGCCCCTATCTGGGCAATTCCTAGACAGCAGGGCCTCGCATTTCACAGAACAGAGAATTCATGGCTTGCTTTGTTGCTAGGTTTTAGGCAACCTTCTTCCCTCCCCCCCCTCCCCCCGCCCCTGCACACACACACCTTTCTCAAGGAGAGCTAAATTTGTGAAGAAGAATAGTAGATACTGTATAGTGACTTACCTTACCAAGGTAAAACACAGTCAAATTAAATTAAAAAAAAATTTCCCCTTTAAAAATGTTTACATTTTCTTGATGAAACACAGCTAGAAATTCAGGGGCAAAATGAAAATATGCATTTTGAAAAGATGTTAAAAGATGGTTAGACACATTCGTTGTGCAGCAACATGCACACTAGCAGATAGGCGACCTCTGTCTGTTGTCAATACGCAATGCTTCGCTCAAGTTGATGTTATGCATGATTGGTAATTAGAAAACCGTAACATTGCCTTACGATTGGAAATGCCTGTCATTATCTTCACTGAACTAAATTGCTGATTGAATAAAAGTTCTCTTGCCTTAGAAGTGACTCAGTTATAGCAGTCATTGCAACATCAGAAGATTATTTACACATAGAGTAAAAATTCCACATTTGACTAGAATTGGGCATAATGGTACAGAACATTACTTTTAACTTCATGTAGGAAAATAAACCAATGGCTAGCAATATTTCTACTTTTAACTTCACATAGAAAAAGAAACTCATGACTAGAAATATTTCTTAGTGGGAAATTGTCTTCATTCATTCATGAAAAAATATTAGTAGTAAAGTAATCACTTTAGATATGCAAATAGTGTTGCTAAAAATGGGGTTTCTCTGTTTGAAAACTTGTTATATAATTTGATATGCATATTTCCATATTTCAATAAGACAGATAAAAGGTTAATAGATTTAATATTATCACAAATTACTAGCCAGAGGTCGGTACTTTAGCTTCTACAAAATCTTTTGGATAAATAATAAGTGCTTTTCTTTTTCTATATCCTTGCTTTCCTAATGGGGTGGTAGTGGATGCGGAAACTGAAAACCAAGGCAGTCAGCTTCCATGAAGTCCCCAGGGTGGTTAGTTGGCAGTGGAGTTGAATGTGAAGACCAGGCCCCATCCAGAAGACCCGGACCTAGACCCGGTTAGTTCTGAGCGAGCTTTGAACATTAACCCTGTCATCAGCACCCACCCTGGCAGCTTGCAGAGTCACACGAGTGCAACGCAGCCTCCAGCTGAGTTAGCAACCATTGCTCAGAGTCCGGGCTGCCTATAGATTGTGTTAGAGAAGAAAAATGCTTGACCTACTTGGATCCGATAAGATGGAGTCAGTTTTCGGCAGAAATTGATCACAACGGACTCCTTGATAGCCTTCTTTGCACCTGAGAAAAGGGGATAAATAATAAACATATGCATGTGGCTGTGAAAGTTTCAAAATTTCAACAAGCAAAATAGCCACTAATTACATAAAATAGATAAATGTGAGAATAGAACATTCATGCTTTTGTATAATTTGATTTAGTATGTCTGTAACATCAACAGGCAGATTTTAGTCTATTTCTGTGCAAAAAAACAAACAAAAATTCCCAGCACTTCTTTGCTTTCATAATTTTATATATAATACCTACTGCACAAATTGAATACTTTTGAAGATGACCCTCGTAGCAATCTCAGCAGTGGTAGCCCTCATGTCAGAGTTCTGGATGCAGGCATGCTTTTCTCTATGCAACACACTGTCTCTAAGAGGCTGTGGTGCCTTTTCAGAAGCATCGCTTTCCAAGTGTCATTTTTCTAATAAAAACATTTTCTCATGTAACTTATCAATATTATCAATAGATTTTGGTGACTGTTTATTTTTCTTGTGTTTTATTAGTTAGTTCCTTTCAAATTTTTAACTTTTTTTTTTTAAGTTAGCTAGGCTTCAAGTCCCTGTGGCCTGATTGGCCAGCGCAACGTCTTTCACATCTGCCAAGATCTCTATGTGCAAGTGTGAAGTTTCCGTAAATGCCCATTTTTCTCTCCTCATTTTCTCTTTTGAGTTCAGCAAACATGTGCAAAGCGCCTGCTTTCTGCCAGGCGTTGCACAAGGCACCTTTCCTGAGATGGGCAGGATTTGGAGGGGAGGAATTTGCCTGCAAGCACCAGCAATGAGCATCGCTCCGCCCTGCTGATCCTCAGTGAGTCTTCACACCGCTCCCTCCAGCAGGGCTGCTGGCTGCCTTGGACAGCTTCAGCTCATCAGCATCAGCTCATCTGCAGCAGGTCAAGGAACAAGTACAGTCCAGGTGGGCCCCAAACCCCTGCTTTGGAACAGTATCCATAGGGGGATGTGGCCTTTAGTGATGGACTTGAACCTTAACCTGTCATGCCCCAGGTAAGCAGGGAGTCACCCATTGTTGCTGATGAATGAATGTCTCCTATGGACAGAGGAGGAAATTGTGCTGCGGGCATAAAAATCAGACTTACCAAAACAATCCTCTGCTTGTTAGAAATCTATTCAATTGACAAAAGAATGGAAAGGGACCGGCCATTCTGTCTCAGCTGGGACTGTGAATTCTTTCTCTAGAATATGCTTTGTTTTCGGTGTAATAAACTATTAGATGAAATCTATTGCAACTGCAGCAGCAACATTGAAAGGCACCTGGTCATTTTTCTACCTCTCACAGTGGGTCACATCAGAATTCAGGTGGTGGGCGGGCTCTCTTTAGCACACTTTTAAGCCTGGTGCCCAGAGTGTTTGGCTGTTTTCCTTGTACACTGAGAACAAAGACTTCTGATATGAGAACACCCTTGATACTCAATAGGCTATTGAAAAAAAGTTGCTTAAGCAGCCACATATTTTCATAACCTCTTTAAAAATTCATTCATTGCCCTTGAAATAAAGCAGGCGTGTCACTGGGTTTACAATGGTAAAAAGTCAGAAAATACTTAGGACTGGAGCAATTTCTGATGAAAAAATAAATACATTTCTGTTCTCTGGAAGCTGGCCTATTGTTGTTAGTTCATCTTTATTCAGAAGTACCGGGACCATGGTGTTTTAATTTTCATTTTCCCATGAGTTACGTTTGGGTGTGTGCTACAGCATGCATTAACTTTTTGAAGGATTTTATTTCCAACAAATGAGGAAGATGTTCAGCAGCTTAGTCGTTATAAATTCATTTCATGTGAAACCGTATCCTAGAGAGATAGGTGCTTTCAGAGGAAGTGTTTTGTGTGTGTGTGTTTTGCTTTGCTTTTTAAGGCTTCTTTGTAACTTATGAGACATTATTCTATTTGTGTGAAAAAGAAAATAAGGACAGATATTTGAAATTGTTCAAGTCTTAAACAAATTTTCCATGAGTTTGATCCCACTCTGAAGTGTTCAGGCCTTGGGGGTATCAGGACGACTGCACAGTGAGCGCCCCCATCCTGCCCCATGCCCCTGAGCTGTAGGTGATAGAGAGTGATGTGTGATGGTGTCAGAGCAGCCCAGCCCAAGCTGGGAGACCCACTAGGCTGAGCGCCCAGACGGGCCAACCCTAAACATTTCTTACGGAGGCAGTTTCCCTGCTAATCGGTGCTGGGTTTCAGAAATTTCATTTTTAAAATTTCCATGTAATAATCACACATAGCCTGGCCAGTGTGGCTCAGTGGTTGAGCATCAACCTATGAACCAGGAGGTCACGTTTGATTCCTTGTCAGGGAACATGCCCAGGGTTGCAGGCTCGATCCCCAGTAGGGGGCGTGCAGGAGGCAGCCGATCGATGACTCTCTCATCCTTCATGTTTCTATCTCTCTCTCCCTCTCCCTTCCTCTCTCTGAAATCAATTAAAAAAACCCCAACATTTAATATATATATATATATAATTAAAAATCACACATATGTCAACTTGATAAGTTCAGCCCATCCAAATACAAAGACAGAATGTGGCAAGCAGGTAATGCCAATGAAGTGGACTAAATTCATGACAATATTAAAGATGTAAAGCAAAGGAAAAAAGTCTTAAGATGCACTTCTACTTCATAGACTGAGTTTGGCGGAAGTTCTGACAGTGTGATAAGCAGCACATCCTTTGAGAAATATCATTGCAAGTTGGTTTTGGTTTTGGTAGATGTTTTGGGAAGTTTGAGAATACTTTTTTTAAAGAGTTTTGTTTTTTGAAAGGTATAGGTATAAGAACAAGATAAATCCATATAGTAAAAAAAAATGTTTTTTGCTTGTTCATTTTAATAAAGCATGACCTAATTTAATAAAATTATAAAAGTATATGTTCAATCTTTAATGATCAATACATGTTTCGTTAATAAAAGCACAGATTTTATCTTAACCAGGTTAATATTCTATTATTTTTTTACTCTGCATTGCTTTAAAACTGCCCTTAATTGCTCTCCATTCTCCGAATTTCTTTATCCCTGAGAAGCCTTGCACACAGATATTTTATTCAAAATTGCAGTGTTCCCTATGGTTTTTTATGGGTAAGCTTACATTCTATAACTAAATGGCCAAAGAGCAGAGAACAAGCTTAAGATAGGAAATATTATTGGCAGTGAAACAACTACTAAGCAAACACAGTCTGCAAGAGCTAAGAGCTTTTACTTTGCAAAAAATATCACTCTTAAATTCTCTGCTTATCGACTCTGAGATGAAGGAGTTGTCACTTTGGAAAATAGTTAAGTCCTTGGTAATGTTGCTTGTTTAGTTTATTTCTAAACTTAAAAGACAGTGGAGAAGAGCATAGTTGGGGAGACAATGCCCAAATCAGGGTAGGGCAGGTGAGGAGGTGAAGAGGGAACTCTGGTGGAGGAACCCTGAACACGAGAGACTGGGTGCTGCAATGAAGTGAGGGGAAGAGCCAGAGACTCTGAGCTCCACATAAGTATCAGCAAAGTACCCTCTCTGGCTGGTGAGCCACAGGGTCAAATAAAAAAACAGTATTCCCCCTTTCTACAGGGGTAAGCTGTGTAGATTCAAATACAGACACCACTTTTTCTACTCCTTACAACCTTCTAACTTGGTCTCAGTCCCATCCTACTTGTTCAGCTGAACCTAAAATAGCAAGCCACCCCTTTAATTCCTTTTTCCTCCTCTATATTGTCTCTAAGGAAAAGCTTAGCTTTAGTGAAAGGTTTTAAAGGGCAACCCTTGGGCCACAGTGAAGAAGAGAATAAAACTGACAAAGATGGGAAAATACAAAATGCATAGTTGTTGGTTGTAACTCAGTACTTGTTCTGTCAGTGTGGTAAAGCAGAAGCGGTCACCAGGTCACCAGCCTGGATGTGGAGGATGCCAGGAGAAGACTTTGAAACAGCGAGATCATTTGCTGCTGTTTCCATAGAAACCCACATCCCTTGGCCAGCTAGCGGCAATGACCATGGCCATCAGCCCACAAGCTAACTTCACACCATTCCCATCTCTTCTTTTACAATATGTATCTGTTGGATTATGTCTCGGAACCCATTTTCTGAATAACAACTAAATTAGAGCTAATAATATTAGTGATTTGACTGAAAATTGAAGAACTCTCACCTGTAACCAACAGCCTCCCTACCTGTCCAGATTATTACTCAATTTATCCCTCTTCCTTCTATTAGGAAAACCAAACCGAATCAAACCAAACCAAAACCACACGAACACCGTTCCACTGAGGAAACTGTACTATCCTCTTAGTCCTCACCTATTGCTTTCCTGGTCACTTACTCACTAAAGGGAGGCATTATCATTGTTTCACTTCCTCTTCCCCATTCCTTCTCTGTCTTCATTGTCAGGGTCTTGATTATCCACGTGGATGGCCCAGCCAACACCTGGTCTCTTAGCACGACTTCCTCATCTATATCATGGGTAACAGTGCTGAGTTCATAGTCTTGCTTCTGTGCTTAGTATTTGCATGGTGTACTTTAGGCAACTCACTTAATACCCCTATTTCCCAGTATCAACCAAATAAAACGAAAATGATACCAGGAAGGAGAAAAATGAGCAATCACACATGCATTTTGGCCATTTTTATACCTAGAGGTCTTTATATCTGCAAAGATGCATTTTACATAATTTACAGGGAGGAGTGTATGAAGGACAGAAAAATTGACAAATGTTTGCTTTGATCCCTGTGTAGTGCCTGGTCTCTGCTTATACTTTGGAGAAAGTGTACATGTTTCCTTCTTGGAAAGTGGATTTTAGACACAAAATTTAAACTAGCAGAAATCAATTAAGTTCAGAAGAGAGATAGTGGCAATGTTACAAGGAAGTAGACATGTAGACATTTTGTCAGTGATATACACGTCTGCCAATTTTAAGGGGCCTATTAAACGCTGATTTGAAAAACGAACCATCCCTCCAGGTATTTTTCTCTATGCCCTGCCAGTTCTCCTCGGCATCAGTGTCAGGCCTTGGTTGGGAAAAATGGAA